TTCCCCTCGCTCTCCAAGATCTTTACCTCGCGGTACGCACCTCCGCACCGCACACGCGTATGCGCACGACACACGCTCACACGACACACGACACACGTTGTTGATTGGTGACAGGCGCACGACGGAGACGCCCGCGGGACTGGACGACTACGTGAACGACCTCGACGTGCTGGCCTCCAAGGTGGAGCGGAAGAGGAAGAACATGAACAACGTCGTACGTGTCCTACACCACACCTCTTCTTCTTCTCTCCTCCGCGTCGCCTGAAACAACTCATTCTAATCGCCCACTCTTCCACTCTTTCCTCCGACACAACAGTGAGCCAGCACACGCCGCACAAGACGCAGGTTTTGACGACGACGAACACATCACCACCATCAAGAGAACGAATGAACGTCCACACATAGGAGCAAGAGAGAGGAAGAGAGAGGAAGAGAGAGGAAGAGAGAAGAGCAGCCAACACCTGGTGCGGGGAGCATGTATGTATTTAATTTATGCTGCCAACGTATTTAAACACCACCAGAGTAGCATCATGTGGGCCACATAGAGGCCACGTAGAAATGGTAGCTTCGTCTCAGAAGACTCGAGTCTGAGCGCTCAGAGCTGGAGGCGATGGACGGTCCGCCAGGCGTTCTCCACGCAATCGTTGACGCCGACGCCGCCCCAGGAGTTGCCCACGAGGTGGAGCGAGGGGAAGTCGCGCTGCAGGGCGCCGCGGATGGAGTCGACCAGCGCCGCGTGGCCCACGACGTACTGCGGGATGGCGTTGAGGTCGACGCTCACGTTGACCCGCGCCGGCGAGGCCAGGGCTGCGGTCTTGGCCGGCGGCAGCCGGAGGTGGCGCTGCAGGCTGTCCAGCGCGATGGCCTGCCACTCGTCCTTGGTGCGATTCTCTTGGCCCTTCTCCACCCGCATCATCACCGTGAACCGCGTACAACCGGGCTGTCGGCAATCGATGGAACTGTGAGCGCGCGTGTGCCATCACCACCGCACTCGCACACTCCACACACGCACACGGCAGGACACGCACGACCGCACACGCACGCACACACGCATGCACCTGAGGATCCTGCTGGGGGAATGCGGAGGAGTTGAACTGCACGCCGAGGATGGGCTGCTTCTCCATCGCGGGCACGAGATAGCCGAACCCTTCCACACCCGCCGGGAGCAGCGGTTCCTGTGTGTGTGTGTGTGTGGTGTGAGTGTGTGTGTGTGTGTGGTGTGAGTGTGTGTGGTGAAGGCTACGCGTACCGTGTAGGCGAGGTGCACGAGCGCCAGCGACGCGAAGGGAATCTTGAGCATGTCTTGCTCGAGGGTCGGGTGGTGGCGCAGGCAGTGGGCGAGGGCGTGGGAGGGCAGAGCGGAGATGACCTTCTCCGCTCGCACCGTCATGCCGTGTCCCAGGCTGAGCGACATCGTACCATCCCGCTCCTGGCTCACATCAGCCCAGCCAACGATTAATCAGAATTAAATAATCAAAAATAATCCCAAATACTAAAAATACAGAATAATAAATTATATAAATAATACTGAATTTATAAATGAAAATAAATGGGGCACCTGGTCCATGCGCTCGACGGCGGTGTTGAGTAGAATGTCGGTGTGCTCGTCTTCCCGGATCTTCTGCTCCAGAGCGCGCGACAGGGTCTCGACGCCCTCGCGGAAGGAGTAGACCTGCATCTTCTGCATCTCTTGAACGGCCGGCGAGAGGTACCCCTCGTCCGTCTCCTCCTCCTCCTCCGCCGCCGCTTCGTTCTTTGTTGTTTTCGTGTTTTGGTTCTTTTCGTTCTTTTCCTGCCCTGATCGCGAGGCCAGCATCTCGCGCAGCATGCCGAGCCCGATCGAGCCGTACTTTTGTTCGTATTCGTGCAGGAACGGGAAGCAGGACTTGATCGACAGGCTCTGCGACCGACCACCGAAAATGCCTGGACATCACCGTCAGACAACACACACACGACACACACACACACACACACGACACACGACACACGCACACCACCGCACGCACGCACGCACGCAGGAGGTCAGGTGCACGAGCGGGTACCGATGCTCAGGGCGTCGGTGAGGGTGTCGGCCACCACCGGGGAGAACCGACGCGTGAAGAACGAGTGGATGGATTCATCTGGCCGGCACACACACATATACCACACACACAGGCATGCGTGAGTCGTGTGCGTGGGCGGGAAGTGTGAGTGCGAGCTGGGCTGGGCTGGGCTGGGCTGGGCTGGGCTGGGCTGGGCTGGGCTGAGTGGAGTACCGGGTTGCTGGGATCGGGGCACGGTCCATTCGCGCAGGAAGGCGAACACGGCGCTGCGCATGAGCGGGGAGCCCAGCACCTTGAGTGGGTGGTTGGGCAGGCGCAGCAGGCTCCCGTTTGTGTACAGGTACCTGGTCGCCAGAGAGTCAATACGGCCGCACTCACGCCACCACTCACCGCACACACCGCACACACCGCACACACACTGTGGACGCACCTGTTCTTGATGGCCAGCGAAGAACAGGGCACCACGTGCTGTCGGAGGCCCAGCTCGTCCACCAGACGCAGCGTCGCCCGCCCCTTGCTTCCCACCGTACGAATGCTAAAGACAAATAAATCAATAAATAAAGTAACATAAAATAAATAAATAAATAATGTGGTGTAAGGGGGGGTACTACCTGGAGGGTCCGGCCTCGAAGACGAAGCCCTCGGGCGTGCGTAGGGAGTGCAGCCAGCCGCCCAGCCGCTGTCCTTGCTCGATCAAAATGATGCGCTTGCTGCCGCTACTGCAGCTGTCCTGCAGCCGCTTCTGTACGAAGCGGCAGGCCGCCAGCCCCGATATGCCGCCGCCCACCACCGCCACTCGATGCACCTTCTCTGCCATGTCTCTTTGCTTTGTTTGTTTCTCTTCTGCAGCCCTCACGGCTCCGGACAATAAAGAAGTAAAAAAACAATAGACAAAGTAAACCTCTGAAAATTCGATAAAAACCCAGTGAAAGGTGGAATGACCATCGAATCCATATGCAGCATGTTGTTGCAACAGTATGTTCATGTTGTTCCATTTCGCAACTGTGGGTTAGCTAACAGAGTTGTCGCTCCAAGGCCTGTCGTGCTGTGTTCACCAGGGCCACGCCGCCGTGAATTTTCGCGCGATGGTACCTCATGATGGGGGAGGTGAGCCAAGACGGGACCACCGCTTCAGCTCACCCCAATGGGGTCGATGTCACGAGCCTTCTTCGAAGAAAAGGTCCCGTCGGCTCTTCATTCTCTTCAAGCTACCACGCGAGCCAAGCATTAACTGTACAACACACACCCACACACAGACCATGCGCTACACGACGAGAGGACTGGTTGGGCTGGGGGCGTGCTGCCTGATCGTGGCCGTGGCGCTGGCCTTCGTGGTCGGCCCGTGTGCGGCCCAGGGCCTGCTGGGCCACATTCGGCCCGCCGAGCACAAGCACACCACCAACGACAAAGAACACAAGCTGCTGATGGCGGCGAAGGAGGAGGAGGAGGTCGATGACCACCATCACCACCATCACCACCATCATCACCCGCGCCAGCCTGCTCCCAATCCTCGCGACGTGGAGCTCGAAGAGCAGCGGGCCTTCACCGAGTGGATGCGCACGCACCGCAAGTCCTATCACCACGACCACTTCCTCCCGCGCTTCGAGATCTGGAAGTGCGGCTCGCTACTTTGATTTGTTGGCGCATTGAGCTGAAGTAATCTCTTCATGGTGTGGTGGTGCGGCTCAGGACCAACAATCGATGGATCACTCACTGGAACAAGAAGCACGCCAATGCGTCGTCCTTCACAGTCGCCATCAACCAATTCGGCGACCTCACCTCCGACGAGTTCAACAGGTGTGCTGACCACGTTCCACCCCAGAACAAAGAAGAAAGAAGAAAGGGGTCTGATGCGTGGTTGTGTGACGCCACTGCAGGTTGTACAATGGGCTGCATGTCTTCAGTGCGCCGAAGGCGAGCGAGAAGGTGGAGCGACCAAGGCAGTGGGCCAACACGGCGGGCATCCCCGAGTCGGGCGACTGGCGCCAGAAGGGCGTGGTTTCCCGGGTCAAGGACCAGGGCATGTGCGGGTGCGTCCCTCAACCGAACCAACCAGTTCGCGACCCGCTTCATGGCTCACAACCGGGCCACTCTGTACAGCTCGTGCTGGGCCTTCTCGACGACCGGCTCGACCGAGGGCATCAACGCCATCACCACCAGCCGGCTCGTGCCACTCTCCGAGCAGAACTTGGGTACTCTCGCTTTGGCTGTCCTGTTCACCTTCACTTGACTGACCAACCGCGCGCCCGTCAGTTGATTGTGCGACGGCGGCGTACGACAACTACGGCTGCAATGGCGGGTTCATGGACAACGCGTTCCGCTACATCATCGACAACAAGGGCATCGACTCCGAGGCCAGCTACCCCTACGTGGCCGCCGACGGCCAGTGCCGATTCAACCCCAAGACCGTGTACGGCGGCAAGTGCTCCATATGAGCGCGCTACGGTCGTTCATCTCTGATGGTGTGAGTGTGGTGTAGGGGAGGAACGCTGAAGAGCTTGCCCAAGGGCGACGAGAAGGCGCTGTTGGTCGCAGCCGCCCGCCAGCCGATCAGCGTGGGCATCGACGCTGGGCGCCCCAGCTTCCAGTTCTACTCCAAGGGCGTATACAACGAGGTATGCGCTCTCCCCATCTGTCGCGTTTCGTTTGGCTCACTCACACGCACCACCGCACACGCGCGTGTCCAGCCTGAGTGCTCGTCGACGGAGCTGAACCACGGGGTGCTGATCGTGGGCTGGGGAGTGGAGCGGGGCCAGGCCTACTGGCTGGTGAAGAACTCCTGGGGACAGAGTACGCCACCACTAACTACCAAACGTCGTTGTGTGGATTGCTGACACCTGGCGATCGTGCGTGTCTCATGTGTGTGTCGTGTCGTGTCGTGTCGTGTCTCGTGTCGTGTCTCGTGTCGTGTCGTGTGCAGCGTGGGGCATGGACGGGTACATAAAGATGAGCAGGGACAAGAACAACCAATGCGGCATTGCCACCTTGGCCTCCTACCCCTCCATGTAGCCAACACCTTACTTAGTAAGTCAGTCAAGAAGAAGGAAGATGATGACGAACGCATCATTGTAATGCAAGAAGAAGGCGGTGACCGGGTGGATGGAGCTCACGCACGCACGCGTGGCGCGCGCTCACTTGGGATCGCCAAACTTGCGAGGCACCTGCTTCATGCGATAGCAGGAGATGATGTCGCCTGGTCGGAGGTCGTTCCACTTGGGCAGCGCCAGACCGCACTCGTCGCCCTTCTTGGCCAGGGTGACGTCGTCCTTGAACTTCTTGAGCGACTCGATCGGGCCGTCGTAGAGCGCCGCGTACTCTTCGTCGGCGTTGACGTCCTTGTTGCGTCGCAGCAGCCGCACGCGGAGCCGCGAATCGAGCGCGCCGCGCACGACGCGCAGGCCGGCGACGTTGTGCTGTTCCCTGTTGGGCATGGTGACGGAGAAGACCGAGAGCACGTCGCCGCGCCCGACCTCCTCCTCGACCTCGCGCGGGGCCAGCATGCTCTCGAGCCGCTTCTTGATGTCGTCGGCCAGCTGGTAGATGATGCTGTAGTTGTTGATGTCGACCTTCTCCACGCGCGCGAGCTCGAGCACGCTGTTCATGGGCGGCACGTTGAAGCCGAACACGACGGCGCCGGTGTCCTTGGCCAGCCCGATGTCGGTCGTCGAGATGTCGCCCACGGCCGACTTGATGATCCGCAGCTTCACCTCATCCTGCGGGAACTGGCTGATCGTCGACTCAACTGTGTCGTTGTGTGTGTCGCGTGTGTCGTGTGTGTCGTGTGTGTGTTGTGAGCCCATATGTGCGTGTGCGTGCGCGCTCGGTAAGGTTGCCGTTGACGAGGGAAGGTACGCACCTGCTTGCAGTGTGCCACCGATATCGGCCTTGATGACGACGTTGAGCGCCTTTTCCATTTCCTGCTTGGCCGCGGCGGCGCGAGCGGCGGGATCGGAGGCCTGGACCACGTCCGTCAGGGCCTCCTTGGCGTGCAGCCGCTCCTTCCGGTAATCGAGGATCTGCTTGGCCTGCTCCTCGCCCAGCACCACCACCAGATCATCACCCGGGTCGGGGAGGATCTACCATCACACAACGGATTGGCGGTTGTTAGGCCGACCACTCATGCACGCGCGACACACAACACACACCACTCACACACGAAGAGCGAGAGAGAGAGAGAGAGGGCGAAGGCGACAGAGCACCTTGGTCTTAAAGCCGATGACTTCAACGGGCGTGGAGGGATCGGCTTTGGTGGTGGACCGACCCAGCCAATCGGTGAGTCCCCGTACGCGGCCCCACGTGCCTCCGGCGACGAAGAAGTTGTTGAGCTTCAGCTGGCCCTGCCTGACCAGCACTGTGCCCACCACACCACGTCCCTGAAGCACCACGGCGCAGTTAAGCACATGACGCGCGCACGACACGCACGACACAACACACACACACACGAGTGGGAATGTACCTTGTCGATTTTGGATTCGATGACGACGGATTCGGCGGGGCCGTTGGGATCAGCACGCAGATCGAGCATCTCGGCTTGGAGCAGGATGGCATCGGTGAGTTCGTCCAGATTCTTGCCCGTGGACGCGGACAGCTCCACGCACTGAACATCTCCGCCAAACTCCTCCAATATCACGCCGTGCTGCAGCAACTGTCTCTTGACCTGCAGCCAAGAAATGATCGCACACGACACACGACACACGACACGACAACACGACGACACGACGACACAGTGGCGTGCGGTACAGAGGCCAACGGTCAGAAGAGGAAGAAAAGCAGAAGGAGGAGGAGGAGGAGGAGAATGGGGGAGCTTGGAAAGAGAAACGCACTTTGCTCGGGTTGGCTCCCTCCTTTTCGATCTTGTTGATAGCGACGAGCAGCGGCACGTTGGCTTCGCGCGTCACTTCGATGGCCTCCTCCGTCTGCTGCATGACGCCCTCGTCGGCCGCCACAACGAGAATCACCATGTCCGTCATCGCCGCGCCGCGCTGTCGCATCGCTGTGTGCGTGTCGTGCGTGTCACGAGAAAACATGGTGAGACACATTCCCTGCATAACTCGCGCACCTCACTGGTGATCGTACCAGCGAAGGCGTTGTGACCCGGCGTGTCCATGAACGTGATCTTCTGCCCGGAGCTGAGTTGTACTGCGACATGAAGAGGGTTTGTCAGTAGCGGGTAGGCATTGGATAGGCGGGCGGTGGAGGTGGAGGTGGAGGTGGTGACGTGGACGCACCCATGGACGCCGAGAGGCGCTGTGTGATGCGGCCCTCCTCGACATCGACCACGGAGGTCTTACGGAGGGCGTCGAGAAGCGAGGTCTTGCCGTGGTTGACGTGGCCCATGACCGCCACGATGGGCGGTCGCGGCACCATGTCGGCCTCGTCGATCGTCCGGGTGAGCTTCATGCCGGTGCCCTCGTTGAGGTCAGAGCGCCGGGGCACGAAGTAGAGCTCCTCGCACAGGATGTCGACCAGCTCGGGCGGCAGCACGTCGTCCACCGTTCGGGGTTCATGCTGCAGCAAAGGCCAGCCAGCGTTGATGGATTGAGTGAGCGAAGTAGAAGAAACTGTGGAATGTGATGTGTGGACGGTAGAGATGGACAAGAGACGTACGCCGCACTTGATGGCCACCTTGAGGATGTCGATGGTGCTGAGACCCGTGACGGCGGAGAGGTTCTTGGGCGTGGCGCGCGAAGGGATGGAGATCTCCTTCGGCTTGGCCTTGCGCTCTTTGAGTTCCTCCAGCTTCCGCTTGCGCGTGGCTGCCAGACGCTTGCGCACCATCTTCGACTTTTCCATCTCTGACGCCGTCGCGTAGAGGCGCCTCGTGCCACCCGCCTGCGTCATCAAGAAATCGATGCTTAATTGTTCTGTGATGATGGCCAGGCGCGAGCATCACACACAGAGGAGCGAAGCATGGGCAAGGAATTACCTCCATTGAAGTCAGAATCGAGGAAGATGTCAAAGCTGACGATGATGAAGGGAGAGCAACGACCACGCACAGCGCACTGCCGCGCGGAGTGTATGCTAATCCCACTCCCGTCGATGTTGACACCATAGATCGCGTTGAGGAAGCGGTGCGGTGATGGAAGGGGCGCTCGGAAGAGCAAAATGTGGAAGATGAAATGCCGCGGCGAAGATGCATAGGAGCAGAAGACGATCCCGCAGACGCGGCTTGCAGGGGAATGTGAAAGGAAGCAGCGGAAAGGGGCCGGGTATTGCCCCAAGCCAGAGCGCGTCGCATCGCCATCGCTCTTCGTTGATCGCTCCCGCTCAAGTTTCGCTTTGATCATTTCTTGCCCTTTTCTTTTCTTCTTTTTCTTCGAAAGCACACCATCACGCCATCCACCCACTCGCCCCATCACGATGGCAAGCAAGAGGGGAAGCGTTGGGCGCTTGTGATGTATCTGTGTTCTACTCTCGCCCCTCTTTAGTGGTGTCGCATCGAAACATTACCGGCAATGCGCCACACGCCTCACACACTCTTGCTCCTCCTCTCCGCTCCACTCCACTTAGGACCACCGAGCTCAGGCGCCGAACATACTGATGACGATGATGATGATACCACACCAATATGCGTTAGAAGAGAGGGCGTGAGGAGCGGGTATCAGGAGAGGGCCGATGGCCAAACGCAAGAGAATAGGCTGATGGGTTGCACGCCGAGACGAGGAAGAGCGATCATGCACAAGCCGAGAGAAAGGAGGGGAAAGGAAGGAGAGGACGCACACAATCATGAGAAAGAGCACAACGACGTTCCAGAGAGCGACGAACACCCGAAGAAGCCTGAGGTTGCGCAAAAGGTCGAAGAGCTTGCTCTTGAGACCGTCCGAGGGTTCCTCAAAGGAGTGCTCTGTTGAGGGCCTAGATGCGAGGGAGAAAAAAGTAAGGAGAAGGAGGAGCATGAAAGGAAGGAGGGAGTACAGTTTGAAGTTGAGAATCGCGGCCCCGTTCACAATGAGAGTGCTGCAAATCGCGAAGATGTGTCAATTGAAAGCACAATCAACCCACAATACGAACTCGGCTGCCGTACCCAAAGAGGATGATGTCCGAGAGGGACAGCAACATGACGCAACGTGGTGGCCCCTCTTTGCAATCGTTTTTCGATTTGTTGGACTTCTGGCGAGAAATTCAGTTTCCTTCCTTTTTCTTTTCCAACAGATTTTATAAAATAATATAAAAAAATTACGACATGCTCGTCGCGCACACTTACCAACGTGTGCTTGGCTGAGGTGCTGATCTTCCTCACGTGCGCACTGTTTGGGAGGACAGCGGAACACATGCTGCGTTCATTCATATACTTTGTCTCGGCCTGGGCCCGGAGAGAGGGCAACCAATGATGTCTGAATATCCACATGGATTCTTCTTCTAAGGCAAGTGCCGGTGTGGAGTAGAATGTCGGATACGGCCATACTGCGCAGAAAGCACCGCTTCCCATCCGAACAGCGAAGTTAAGCTGCGCCAGGCGGTGTTAGTACTGGGGTGGGCGACCACCCGGGAATCCACCGTGCCGAATCCTTTTGTACTCGAAACGTCGCGTTGCTTCTTTTCTTGTTTGCAAGACAAGCTCACCCAATGGCAAGGCCAAAGAAGTACAACTAGGCGGAGGGCCAAGCCAATGTTTGTGCTTCAAGGCTCTCTGACTTTGATTCCGCCGAACCTCGCGCTTTTCCGCACATTTTTCTGCCTTTCTTCGGGTTAGCTGAAGTCGTTTCGTGTCGGGAAAAAACAGGGAAGCAATGAGTGCAGTCGTTGGTGTTCCGGCGAAAGGATCCGCGGCCTGGGCTTGTGTGTATCTTCAACGCATCATCAGCATCACGACCAGATCATCAGATCCCCATCTTTCTTATCTTCTACGCACAACTGATTTCGCGAGAAATCGTACCTTTACAGAACACAGCAACTAAAAATGGATCAGGGATTCGACATGACGGCCAGCATGCACGCGGACGTGCTTCGCATGTGCAAGGGCGATAAGGAGAAGGCCAGACAGATGGTCTCGGGTCTGCAGGGCCAGATGGAGGAGGAGAAGCGCAGGTCCCAGCAGCGGAAGATTGATGAGCTCTCCCCCAATTTCCCCAGCATCGATCGCCATGCCCTCGTAAAGATTCTCAGCGACAACGACTGGGATGTGGAGAAGGCCATTCTGCCCTGCTTCGAGTTCCAGGAGAAGGAGAGGGAGGCCCAACGACAAAAGGAGCGCGAAGAGCAGAACAAGAAGAGGGAAGAGGAACGTCGTGCCAGGCAGGCCGAGGCGCGCCAGCAAGCGAAGACCTTCCTGGTGCAGCTGTTCTCGAACGTGCCCGAGGACAAGATCCAGGCCATGCTCGAGGAGAACGAGGGTGACGTCGACCTCACCACCGACCAACTCATCAGCATGAAGGCCGAGGAAGAGGAGAAGCAGGAGCAGTTGCAGAAGAGGCGCAAGGAGGAGGAAGAGCAACTCAAGCGACAGGCCGAACTCGAGAAGCAGCTCAAGATCGACACCCTTGTGCAAAGGTATGTTTTGCATCCGCCGAATGCTGGATCTCCAATTTGTTGTCTCACGATTGTGCGTTGGTCAGGTTCGGGGACTACTGCAACCCGAACGAGATCGTGAACATCCTCTCCAAGCACAACTGGGACGTCAAGGTCGCAAGCAATGACGTGTTGCGACTTGTCGAGGAGCGTAAGCTCGAGCAGCTCAAGCGCGTCCACACGGTACAACACATATCGCACACCCTACCCTAGCTAGCCCTCTACGCGATCTTGCTCACAGCCTTGTTTGCATGCCCGCAGACTCTGGACGAAGTGGTCATCAGGGAGGCGCTCTACAAGAACGACTGGAACCTGATCGACACGATGAAGCAGCTGCGCCTCATGGCGGCCGAGCAAAAGGCCCAGCAGGCGCAGAAGGAGGAGGAGGAGCGCCGCAGGAAGGCGCAGGAGGAACTGGAGAAGGCCAAACAAACCGCCGAGGAGGAGGCCAAGGCTCGCGCCGAGGCCAAGGCACGCGAGGAAGCCAAAGCCGCCGCCGCGGAGGAGAAGGTGCGCAAAATTCCTCCTCGCCTTTGCTTGCGTTCGCCTGGTATCTGACTCGCCTCTGTTCATATAGAAGAAGGCTGCCGACAAAGCGGCTAAGGAGGCCGCAGACAACATGTTCCTCGAGCGCTCGGTCATCATCGGCAAGGAACTGGTAAGCTTTCTCTGCCCTGCGACATATGATACGCAGCGCTAACCGGTCGCATGTGGACTATCGATGAACAGGACGAAATCATCCAGGCTCAGCGCAAGATTGCCGAGCACGAGGCCGACCCGCTGACGCACATCAAGCAGCAGCTCGAGGAGAAGCTCAAGTTCGGCCCCGAGAACCTGCCCGGCATTCCCGGCATGGTCCCGCCCACTCGCAAGGTGATCGACGAGCTCCTCGGCAAGGAGAGCCCCGTTCCCGTCACGCCCGAGAAGCCCGAGCAGGAAGACCTGCCCGAGAAGGTCAAGGTCCTCCCCACCGGCATGGAGTTCACCGAAGGTACGCTTACCACGCCCCTCACCGCGCTCATGACTTGGTGCTTTGACTGACGAAGATATCACTTCATCATCGCCAATGATACAGTGGACACGACCGCCGTAGATTCGAAGACGACCCTCAAGGCCTCGCCCGAGTCGCTCGATATCAGGCACCCCATCACCGTCGAGTGGGAGATGGAGACTGCGCCCTCGAGCTCGGATTGGATTGGTCTCTACAAGGTGGGCAGCGATAACGGCAGCTACGCCATCTACAACTGGATCAGCCCGGTGGCCCAGAAGGGCGCCATGACCTTCACGCCCACCGAGTTTGGCGAGTACGAGCTCCGCTACTTCGCCTCGAGCTCCTCGTTCTTCTCGCGCCAGTACTCTGTCAAGGCCGTCTCCAACCCTATCCGAGTCGGGTACGACCACCACACACACCTCACATCAGAACAACGCTGAACAGCTGAACTCATCTCTTTCTTTCTTCTGTCATCAGACCTCAGCTCAAGCTGGTCCCCTCGTGGGACGCCGCGACTAACATGCTGTCGGTCAAGTTCGAGCAGAAGTCGGGCAACCAGTACCTCAACGCCTGGGTGGGCCTCTACGCCAAGACCGAGAAGGACAACAGCCAGTACCGCGCCTTTGACTGGCTCTCGAACGCGGTCGACCACACGCTTAAGTTCGCCTGCCCCAAGGCCGGCGAGTGGGAGTTCCGCTTCTTCCCGCAGCGGTCCTACGTCGACGTCGCGCGCGAGAGCGTAACCGTCGGCGGCACCGATCGCGTCGAGCTGTCGCTCGTGGATGGTCAGATGATCGTCAAGACCGAGCTCACCACCGTCGATCCCGCCTACGACAACGTGTGGGTTGGCATCTACAAGACTGATGAGACCAACAACAGGTACCCTTCCGCTTCATCATCATCATCATCTGCTTCATCATCGTCGTCGTCGTTGATCTAAGCCTAACGTTTTGCGATCGTCAACAGGCAGTACAGGAAGTACAAGTATGTGAGCCAGGCCACGGGCACGATCACGTTCCGGGCGTGTACGACGCCGTCGACCTACGAGGCGCGCATCTTTGCCAACAAGGGCCTCGAGGTCGTGAGCAGGAGCAACACCATCGTCGTCCCGCCCAAGCAGCAGTAAGCCGCTCTGCTCTTGAGCACCCGCCTCCGCAAAGCCTGAACGGAGCACCTTCCCCCCGCCCCCACCCAGCTGCTGCAATCAATGCGAGTAGTATTGTTTTTTGAATTGAGCAGATGCAGCTGAACACGAGCGCACTCACCTTCACCGCCGAGCTGGCAGTTCTCCTGTAACCTCGTCATTGGGGGGGGGGCAGTAGCGGCTGAGGCAGGCGCAGGCAAAGTTATGCCGGCAAAGAGACGGGTCACGCCGGCGTGGCCGGTAGGACAGCAATTCTTTTGTTTGACTCTCCTCACCAACAAAGCAAGCAACATGAGCAGCAACTCTTCTCCTTCGTCCGACCGTGTCGATACGGCGCCTCCGCCGCCGACCGCAAGTACGTTCCTCCACACTTGCCCTTCTTCCGAAGCTCCATGATCGGCACGAACATTGCGAGTAGAGCGAATCACAGGATGAAGGCGATGGCTAACGCTACCCGTTACCCTCCCTACTTATGACTTCCCAACAAGAGTTCGAGCACGCCCGCATACTCGCAGCTGTCCAAACAGCGCGCCTCTAGCACAAATTGTCAGTGTGCTTGGCCGATGCGCGCTTGCTGCGCTGCATGCTTCGCTGCCAACGGGAACTTGATCTTCTGGCGCAGCAGCAGCAACAAGAAGAAGAAGAGCAAGAAGACTAAGAGCAGGGGTACACGCACCAACGGCTCCTGTGCCTGCCGTTGCTACTCAGCTCACAAGATCTCTCCATCTTCAGTGACGACGAAGGCGAGGACCAGTGACCGCATCTCCAGGTTCTGATGAAGGGTAGTACGACTCCCCCGCAACATCGTCGGCTCAACAAGATCTTCGCGAAGTCACAGCCACAAGGAGGACCTTTCCCGTTGTCAGCGTTTGAGCTTTCCTCTGTATAACTCTTCTTTCTTCTTCTTGTGTACAAGCGATGCTTCACACCTTGAGCCTCGTCTCTCCCCTTGGCCGTGCATCAAAAAGATGCAGACTGAACGAGAAGGAAGAGGAGAGGATGAACGAGGTGCGAGGATTCGAGCTGTGGTTGCGGGAAGCAGCATCTTAGCCCTCCACACCCTGGTTGTAGTCACGGAACTTGATCTCGCCCACCTTGACGGCAGAGTCCTTGGGCAGCGTGGAGGGATCGAACATCATCGACTGCGGCAGGCGCGAGTTGATGTCCTTCGGGCCGGTCTGGCCGGTGTACGAGCCCACGATCTCGTCGAGATCGCATTCGTTGATGAACTCGATGAACTGCCTCTCGGACACCATGCCCGTGTTGGAGGGATCCAGCATCGCGTAGGCAGCGGCCGTGGCCTTGCTCATGTCAACGCCTGGCATTCACCATTCATCGAGATGTGAGCGATTCGCGTAGCATCAACCATCTCACTCAAAAGAGTTCGGCGTACCCGGGCCAAGAGCTTCCTTGGGGGCCTTGCAGCGCTTGCGAAGGGAGTAGAGCTGGAAGCAATCCTTCAGGAACTTCTCGGCCGCCTTCTTGTTGATGCTGCCCAGATTCTTGGGATCGTAGAACTGCCAGATCTCTCGCGCCATCTAGATCCCCACCTCAGCCACATGGCCAGCCGGTCAGCTCTTCCATTTAATCAATTCAATTCATTCATTGGTAATCGAAAAGAATAAATAAAAAGAAGACATAAACGCACCTGGTCTATTTTTGTTTCAAGGTCTTCATCGATGTCTAGTTCGTCGCTGGCGGTGGGGGGCTTGATGGTGCCCTTCTTGAGCTCCTTCACCAGCTGCTTCTTCATCTGGGGATCATCGAACACCGTGTAGCCGTCGGGACTCGGGAACACCGTCTCCATCAGAACCAAACCCTTGATGCTCGCCGCTCCCATTGTCTTGTCTACTCTATCACTACAACTCTACTCGCTTGCTCTTTGATGTCGTGTGCCCTCCTTGTTCTTCTTCGCTCCAATTCTTAAGGCGGCTTCCGCCAGTAGCGCCATTGGCCACTGAATCGGATTTTTGTAGACTGATGGCGCAACACTGCGTCACAACGGGAAATGGAGAAGAAACTAGTTTTGTTCATCCTCGCTGAAGATCTAGATTGGTGTGTTGCGCGGTGTAAAGCAGGCTGTGATGCCATTTCTTAAGTCGCGATGGTAGGGGGGTCCTGTGGCCATGTACAAGTGAGATTCGGTATGTAGATTTGTCAATGTTTGATTGAAATTGAAGTACCTTGGCATGGGCTTTTTGATGGTGTGTGGTTGGTGGTGATGTCGCATATGGGCGAGGACGAGGTCGCGGTCACACAGGGAAGCGCAGATGGTGTACATGGAGCTGGCACTTGGTGGAGGACGTGCACACGGCCAATGGTCCCTACACAGAGGTATGTGAGACCATGTGCGAGACAGTGGT